TAAGAGGGCAAACGCACCTCCATCCCCTAACTATTTTTACCAATTCTGACAGCAACTCTCCTTCTCAAGGCATTCTCTGCTTTCTTGGCTTTGAGAACTCACACAAAACTGAGAGAAAATATTCATGATTATAGGGACCTCTCCAAAGTACTGAAGAGCAATGGTGTCTCTCTGGAGTCTAAGGTGCGTTTGATACAGGCCATGGTCTTCACAATCACTTGTTATGCATCAGAGAGTTGGACAATGACCAAGGAGGATAGAAGGAGAATTGATGCCTTTGAGCTGTGGTGCTGGAGAAGAGTATTGAGAATACCATGGACTGCTAGGAAAACAAACAGATTTGTCCTGGAAAGGGTTAAACCGGGTGGCTCCTTGGAGGCAAGGATTCTGAGGCTCCATCTAACATACTGTGGACATGTTGTGAGGAGAGACCGGTCCTTGGAGAGGGACATCATGCTTGGGAGGGTGGAGGGACAGCGCAGGAGGGGAAGGCCCTCTGAGGTGGAATGATTCAGTGACTGGGATAATTGGGATGGGAGTGTCAGAGACAGTGCGACTGGCACAGGAGAGAGCGGAGTTTAGGGCATAGGGTCGCTATGAGTTGCAAGCGACTCGATGGCACACAACAACAACAACAACAACAACATAGGGTTTATTAGGGAGCTCTGGTGGTTTAGTGGCAAGCAGTTGTGATGCAATCTCAAAGGCATTCATTTCAAGTCCACCTTCTTCTATCTGCTCTGCAAGAGAAGAATGGACAATCCTCCAGTGTGATTAACTGCCTCTGAATATTTACTGTAAGCTATGGTTGGCTCTGACTCAATGGTACACAACAATAACAATAACATATGGTTTATTAGGGAAGTAAATGGTTACAATTAATGATCAGGAAAGGGAGCTCTGGTGGCCTAGTGGTAAGGTGCTCTACTGCCAAACCAAAGGCACACAGTTCAAATTCACCAGCTGCTCCACAGTAGAAAGACAGGCAATCAACTGTCCCCTGTGATTAACTGCATCTGAAACCTGCTGGAGGGTCAGCTCAGCTGGTTCTGACAAGCTGGTTCCCACCTGACAGCACACAATAATAACAACATGACTCCAAATGTAGTTCTTTGGTCAGGACAGTTTCTCAGGCATTCCTGCAGACAGTCGACGATGTGTGTGTTCAATATTCTTTGTCAACCTTAAAATTCAAAACTACTAACACAAAGGTCTGTAATTCGAACCCATGAGCTATGGCCTGGATCCCTGGGAAAACAATGAGCAGTGTCTTCCTGTTAAAGTTTAAAACCTTACAAACGTAGTGGGATCACCATGAGATGGAATCAACTTGATAGCAATGAGTGGGTGAAACATTCTATAGAGATTCTTTTTTTTTTGAGATTCTTTTATTGAGACATAAACCGGATGAAGACAGCCAGCAAAGCATTCCAGAAGGAAAGAAACCGCCGCATGGTGCCAAAAGGTATTCTGCTAAGTCATGGCCACAGCTTTCATTTATCACTATTGCAGGTGAGACTATTAAAGCTAGAAAAAACATGAATGGGATGTATACACACTTTCAACTTAAAAGGTTTGCTCAAAGGCAGAGTTCTGGAGTGTAGTAATTAAAGTTCTCTCCCAGGGACCATTCAGGAAACACCCTGGGTGAGTTCCCTCTAAGCTAGACCCAAGGGTGACTCACCTTTCCTTAGGCTCTGCTGCTTGGATCCGAACAAAGCATGGCTGACACTGAAAATGATGGGAATCCCGGAATACTTAACTGTGCTCATATGGAATCTAGACCTAGACTAAGAGGCTGCTGTGTGAACAGAGCAGGGAACACTGCCTGGTTTAAAATTAGGAAAGGTGTGGGTCAGGGTTGTATCCTTTCCCCATACCTATTTAATCTGTATGTTGAGCAAATTATTTGAGATGCTGGACTCTATGAAGAAGAATATGGCATCAGGATGGGAGGAATACTCATCAGTAAACATCATTATGCAAATGGCACAATCTTGCTAGCTGAAAGTGAGGACTTGAAGCACTTGCTGCAAAAACACTGTAGTCCTCAATATGGATTTCATTTCAATGTTAAGAAAACAAACCTTGCCATTGGACCAAAAGGCAACATTATAATAGATGGAGAGGGGAAAAAAAGAAACTTTCAATGACTTCATCTTACCTGGATCAACAATCAATACATTTGGTCAGCAGTCAGGAGATCAGGAGATGTACTGCACTGGGAAAATCTGTAGTCAGTACTTATCCAGACTATTGAGGAGTAATGATATCAGTCTGAGGACTAAGGGGTATCTGATTCAGGCCATGGCCTTTTCAGTCACTTGCTGTGAATTTGAGTGCTGGACAGTGACCAAGGATGACAGAAGAAGAACTGATGCTTTTGAACTGTTGTGTTGGAGAATGGAGCATTCCTTGGATTACAAAAAGAAAAAGCAGATATATATTTGAGAAGGTACAGCCAGAGTGCTCCTTGGAGGCAAAGATGATAAAACTTTGCCTCACATACTTTGGGCATGTTGCTAGGAGGGATAACTCTTTGGAAACTGTGGTAACAAGCTTGAATGGATAGGGAGAGATAGGGAGATTGGTATCAGGTAGGACAGTGTACAGATCACAGGGTCATAGTTCATAGGATCACTATGAGTGATACTCAAAGCTCTTCTCTTATTACTGGGCCAATAAACGACACATAATCAATGCAAAAAAGACTGAAGTTGTCAAGGATTTAATGTTACTTGGAAAGATAATAAAAATATCCATTGAGACACTGAATAACTAACTAAATAATCTATGGAGAAATTGGTTTACTCATCAGAAAGAACACAATTGTTGTCTGAGCCAATGTCAAGACTTTATTGAGTAAATATGCTGAAAAGAGTCTGTTTCAAGTGTCAAAAGAGCAAGGATATTAGGTTAAGGACTAAGGTGTACCCTAACCAAATCATAGTATTTTCAATTGCTTCCTTAAATGCATATGAAAGTTGAACAATAAATAAGGAAGACCAAACAAGAATTGATGCCTTTGAATTGTAGTACTGGTAAAGAACATAGAATATATAGTGAAATCCCAAAAAAAAAGAAAAAGAAAAAGAAAATAAAAACAAAACCACATCTGTCTTGGAAGAAATGTAGCCGTAATGCTACTTAGAAACAAGGATGGTGAGACTTTGTTTCACACACTTTCAGTTTGTTATCAAGAGGGCTAAACCCTAGAAAGGTATCAAGCTTGTAATCTAAAAAGGAAGACATTACCGAGGTGGATTGACATAGTGGCTGCACCAGTGAGCTCCACCAGAGGAGAGACTCTGAGGATGATGCAGAGTCAGGATTATGCAGGATTTAGTTCTACTGTCCAATGGGTCACGATTAGTCGGAGGACCAGAGAGGACCTCCTCACAACACCGTCAAGTTCTTCTTGGGCTGTTATGTTTTTGGTTTTTTTTGTTTTTTTAAATTTAATTTTATTATTTTGTGTGTGTGTACCGTCAAATCATCTTACTGGTACAGGAGGAGACTGCCCCTCCTTCTCCAGTAGTTCTCCAGTAAAGCATCTGGTTGCCCCTCCTTCTCCAGTAGAGCATCTGGTTGATTTGAACTGCTAACCCTGGGATTGCAGTGCAGCTTCTTGCCACTAGGCCACCATAGCTCCCTCAGGCTTTTATCTGCAGTTTCCCTGACGGCAATATCATGGGCTGGCTTACTCCTCAGAAAAAAACATAAGTGGTGTCTGAGTCAAGATTAAGAATAGAAATGGAGTTAGGGCTCCACTACAGATCACAACCTTCCACCATCCAACAAAAAACCAACTCATTGCCGTTGAGTCACTACCAATTTTATAGACTTACAATGGACCCTCTAATAGGTTTTTAGGAACTGTAAACTTCAGGAAGAGGAGACTGCCCATCTCTGTGCACAGAGCAGGTGGTGGATTTGAACTGTTTGCTTTAAGTTGGCAGCACAACTTTCTAACCGCTAGGCAGTCAGTGCTCCCAGACACAACAGAGTACTTAAGTTTTAAGCTCTTTCACTTGTCAATGTCAAGGATGGGTTAGGAGCCCAGGAATAACGGAATATTCCCCCCCCCCTCCGCCGCGTCCCGACTTCTTCATTTGATGTCCTTCTTTTTCCTTCTCCAAGTTTCTTCCTTCCAACTTTTCCTGTTATCTGAGTTTCATCTGGTGAAAACAGTTACTTTCACTTTGTAATACTTGACTTTAGTGCATTTTGCAAAGTGGGTTATCATAAATAGAAATGAATGACTCATATTTTCCAGATTCCTAGGTTAATGTGGAATTAGCTCTTCAGGTAATTTTCTCTAGAATTGGGATAATATGCATCAAAAGTCTTATGAAGTGGATTTTACAGGATGAGATCTAACCACCTTATCTCTTTCGCTTTTATCTAAATACAAAAACCAATAAAAATATATTTATAAGCTTATTAAGAATTTCAAGGAGGAGTTGAAGCTTTGGAACAATGATTCTGGTAATATTAGGAAACTGAATACCGATAACCAATGCTAATCAATTATCCTTTCTACGCCCCACTTTTAGGATAATAAAAGCAATGATTTTTAAAAAGTTACATTTAAAAATAAATTATAAACCGTCAAAAGAAAAATTCTCTTGAATTCACATTACAATATACATTAGAAAAGAAATGCAGAGTATAGAAGAGACACAGAATACCTGGATCCCAGATCTGGCCACACCGAGACTATTTTCGGGTAGGCTCCACCCCCTCCGGACAACCAACCCCATTGGAGTACATCCACCCAGCTCCCACCCACCATCAGGCCTCCCGCATGCGCACAACTGGCACACTTGGCTTTGGTGTTCCGGTCGCCGTCCCCGCCCCCGAATTCCGGACTCCGATTGGCCCGTCTTACGAGACCGCCCCTCTGTCTGGACCAATGCGGAAGCTGCTGGGGTGCTGAGCGCTCCACGCCGGCCGCTTGCACATAGTGGTTCTACTTCTTAATCCAGAGGCGCGGAGGGATGGCGGCTGTGGCAACCTGTGTAGGCCGGCTATTTGGGCTCCGTGGGGCCGGATCTGAGGGCCGATGGCTTCGACTCCGTGGCACGGGGTTGCTCCGGGCTTTCCTGCAGCCCACCTCGCCCGGCGCGAGCAGCAAGGACGTGATCTCGAGACGGCAGGCTTCTCATTTTACTTTCCAGCCTGACCCGGAATGCCTGGAGTACGGTGAGCCCTTCAGGGTCCCACTCGGCCCACCCAGTCCGTGGGAGCTCGCACGGGTTGGGGCCGGCAGGCCAGTCTCTCACTCTAGCCTCTTATTCCGGCCTGACCCGCTCACCTGAGCCTTCTGGCAGCAGTGTCTGGCAGTGGACCCCTCCCCTCTGGTTTTGGGGGCAGCCCTGGGGCACCCACGAGGTGGGTGAGAGGGCACCCCGTTGTCCAGAAGGGCCGGGAGTGGAGGAGAGGTCCCCAAACAACATACGCCTTTTGCTGTCCTTTCTCCCTGCTTTCCCAACTCAGGCCTTAGTTTTCCAGCTATCCCTGAGTTGGATCATTAACTTTAGACAGTAATACTTAAAAGGAGAGAGAGAAGAAGAAGAAAAAAATGCATTTGGCATATAGAGATGAATCCGCTGAACTTAGTAACTGAATTGCTTTCCCCAAGGTCACAGAACAGGTTCTTGGAGATGGGAAACAATCCAGTCTTCCTATCTGAGTCGGGTACTGAGCTTGTGCTGGTTTAGGCAACTGCCTTGCCAAGGTGGGTGATCAGTGAAGATGATGGGAGTGGGAAGCAATCTAGTGCCTGGAATGGTAGTAAGGGCACCCGAGGATGCTTAGTGAGTAGTAAACTCCCAGTGTGATGACTTCTTTCCTTTCTTCTGTATGCTTTAAATCATCTCTGAAAGAATATTTGTCATGAAAACAACATTAAACAGTCACCCTCTCTCCTTGTCGAATACGTGTCATGTGCTAGAGCTGACATTATTGAAAATGTGTTTTGGAAAAACAAGTGAGCTTTACTGAGTGCGTTCCACTCCAGGCATGTGTCCTGAGAAATTTGCGTGTATATTCTCATTTCATGCCAGTGATAATCTTTTCATTCATTTAGCACTTAAAGAGAGTTTTTGAGGTAGTTTGTCAAAGTTACAAAGATAAATTAGTGGTAGATCCAGCTTTGGAACTTATTTGATCAGGATCCAGCACTTGTGTTCTAAACCACTGTCAATTTATCAAAAATCTTGATTTTGTGTAAAAAGTAGTTAATATAATGGTGAATAGCATCTCACTCATAAGATGAACCCTGAATTCCATTTTCCAAACAAGAAACCAGAACCTTTAATGCAACACTGACAAAATAGAGCACAGAACTTCCTATCTTAATTATCCCCTTTCATAATTGCTAAATTACTACTCAAAACAGAGGGAGCTTAGTGGTCGAGTGGCAAGAAGCTGTGCTGTAATCCCAAAGGCACGCAGTTCGAGTCCACCAGACACTCCGCAGGAGAAGGATGGGCAGTCTCCTCCTGTGCAATTAACTGCCTCTGAAAACCTGCTGGAGGGTCAGCTATGGTTTGGTTTTGACTCGAGGGTACACAGCACATAACTCAAAACAGACTCAACTCATTGCAGAGTGTCAGAACCAATTTATAGCTGCCTTTCCATTAGGTTTTCAAAGCATCAGAGGAGATTGCTCATCTTTCTTTTTTGGAGCTGTTTGTAAATTTGAACCACTAGAGAGGTACCATCCACCTTGGGTTAACAGTATAACTCCCTGCAGCCACATCACAAGACCTCCCCAATGACGTCATGTTTATAGATCTGTTTTTACTATAAAAATAACAAGCACATTGCGGATGTTAGAAAAAAGTTGACAACAGTTATAATCTTATTGTCATAAAACTGCTAACCTTTTGGGATGTTTCTCTTTTGTTAAGAGGATTTTCCAATATCGTAATATAAATCAAACTTTGCATTATTTTATAAGACATATTTCGCCATTTTGTTACACAATTTCTATGCCCTACCTTTAGAAGGAGAGTTCATGCCCTTGAGCTTTGGTGCTGGAGAAGAGTATTGACTATACCATGGACTGCTAGGAGAACAAACAAGTCCGTTCTGGAGAGGGTGAAGCCAGGCTGCTCCTTGGAGGCAAGGATTCTGAAGCTTCGTCTGACATACTTTGGACATGTTACAAGAAGGGACCGGTCCTTGGAGAGGGACGTCGTGCTTGGGAGGGTGGTGGACAGTGCTGGAGAGGAAGACCCTCAATGAGATGGATTGATTCCGTCACTGGGGCATGGGGATAGGTGTGTCAGAGATAATAAGATTGGCAAGGGATAGAGAAGGTTTAGGGCTGTTGCACATAGGGTCGCTATGAGTTGCAAGTGACTCGATAGCACATAACAACATTTAGAAGAAGGTGTATTTCTGGGGGTACAGACAGTATAACTAAGTGCTTAAAAACTTGTCTCAGTACTCAGATAGTTTTGGCTCTGTCAAATGTGACTTTGGGTTTGTCCATTATATAAACTTTAATTTCTTTATAAGTAAGAGAGATTAATAATAATATCCTATTTTAGAAGATTGTTAGCAGGATTAAACAAAATAAGAGTATATAATGTGCTTGACATAATGGTGACAGCTAGGAAGCATTCACTTATTAAATGGAAACTTTTAATCAAAAATATTCTACTTTTGTTTAAAGTTTTACAGTGTTAAAATAATACTACAAGAACATTTTTAAGGGTGAGTTTTTTTTACTCAAAGACATGAATGCTTTGAAGGATTTTAAATGTCTACTTCAAATTGCCCGTTTATAGTCTCATCTACATATATAAGAATATGACTTTTGTTGTTGTTGCTAAGTGCCCGTGCATTGAGTACAACCTATAGTGACCCATGACAATAGATCTGAACTCTATCTTATCCTTTGCCATTCTTATCATCCCCAAAACATTTGAGTCCATTACTGCAGACACTGCATCATTCCATCTCATTGAGGTTCTTCCTCTTCTTCACTGACCCTCCACCTTTCCAAACATGATGTCCTTTTCCAAGGAATAGCCTCTCTTAACAACTTGCCCAAAATATGTGAGATGAAGCTTCATCATCTTTGCTTCCAAGGAGCACTCTGGCTGCACCTTCTCCACGACCATAACTCAAGTGCATCAATTCTTCTATCTCTCACCTTTATTCGTTGTTCAGCTCTCAGATGTGTAATAGGTGATTGGAAAGAAAATGTCCTAAATCAGGTGCACCTTTCTCTTTAGACTGACATTATTGTTCTTCAGGACTTTGGAGAGATCCCTGAGAAAAGACAAAACTGCTGTATGTCTCCTTATCTCCTTACCAATGGTGTTGACTGTGAATCCAACCATGGTAAAATTGTTGATAGTTTTGATCTTTTTCCCCCATTTATCAGGATGTTGTCTCTTGGTCTATTTCTTATCTTCCATCTGGAAATTGTCCTCCCATGCTCCATTGTGCAAAGCCAGGTTCAGGGATGGGTGGATTGGTCCTCCTAGGGCCTCTTCCTGAGGCCCTGAGACACTTAACCTTGCATTTTTTTGTGTTTTCTGTGTTGTTCCAAAAAGCCTTTCCCTCTTCAGGTTTTGAACAGTTTTCTTTCAAATTAGTTTGTAGGAAAAGTTCTTGACTATCTCCCCTGTTAAGACTCATTTTCTTGTATCATTATTAAAGCCAGGACGCTACCTTTGAATTTCTTCTCCATTTGGGTGCATGGATCTGAAGTTTGGAAAGAGATCCCCATGTTCTCTCCTGTTGGGGTCCCAGATAACGATTTTTTAATTGAGGGTAACAATGACTGTTTTTCAGGATGTAGTCTTAGGAAAGAGGGCTTTTAGTCCTGCATGTGAACTTGGACATAGATGGCTCCAGGCAGTCATCACTTACGTCTTCCATAAACTTGCCCGGGCTTCTGCCATTTGAATGCTATTTCTCTTCCAGAGTGGACCTGCTTGTGAAATGCTTATCCATTATGAATTGCTCCATAGACCACTGGGAAATAATTTCCTCGTTTCTGAGGCTGAAGCCTCGTGAAAACACTTCTGGAGTTTTTGGAGTTCTTTTTTTTTAGATGAGTTCAATATGTATTGCGATATACTGAGAGACTAAATTGTGAATTCCAGAGTAGGGCTCTGGAATTCAGATGTCGTCTCTCTGTTCTGGACACCAAGTCTTCGGATGGATTCAAACTCTCGATTTCCCAACACAAGATGAGGCATGGATGGTTCACTGTGGAACAACTAAGATCTAAAACCATACTTTGCAAGATTACTCTGAAATTCAACTGGGAAGATTCAGTGTTTCTAATAACTGATACATACTCAGGGATTTTGCAACAAATAGTGGAAACTCAAAGGTTTATATCCCAGTATGGTTGAACCTCCTTGGTCACATGTTCAAAATTTTTGGGCTGACCTCTGTCATGTGTGGTGGACAAGGCACTTTATGTTATATCCTGGAATGGTTGAACCTTCTTGGTCAAATCTTCAAGCCTTCTTCTTGGGCTAAATTCTGTACTGCGTGGTGAGCAAGGCAGTCATTTCTCCTTCCAACTTTAAAATACAAGTTTACGGAGCAGTTTGACTTTCCAGTCAACTGTTTACACATACTTTGTTTTACAACACTGGTTATGATCTCTACATCTTCTCGCTTCTTCCCTGTGACTTTTATTTCCAATCATCTTTCTTTCCTTTCCCTTTTTGCCTTTTGAACTTTATTCCTGGACAAATACTGTTCTTCTGATCTTAAGTAGTTGATTTTTCTAAGGAGTGAATACTTTTCTAGTATTGTTGTTCACTTAATATCAACTCAAGCTCATTGCCGTTGAGTTGGAACTGACTCACAGCTGACCCTCCAGTGGATTTTTTAGAGGCTAAAAATTGCCTGTCGGGAGATGGCTCATCTTGCTTCCAGGGAGCCACTGTTGTGTTTGAGTCACCAGAGAGGTGCCTCCTGTGGCTTGGCAGCACAAGTTCCCCACAAATGGTGCCATCAAAGCTCCTTTTGTTCATGTTTGAAAATTGAGCCACTGGGGTGAATTCGGGTCCAGGCTCAAAGGGTGACTTAGGAGTTTGGAGTCCCATTTGTTTCTTGTTGGACCAGTAAGCCTGACCACATATCGCTGTCTTGAAGAACAATTAAAATTATGGATTTACCCTAGACAGCACTCATGTTGACGGTTTGAGACTCTACCCAAA